TACATATGTATGTATGTATGTATGTATATATTTCAGAGAAGTAATTTGGAATAAAAAAAAAAAAACCTGACATCCAGCACTTCAGTCTACATCATTTTTCTGCTCAGCTTTATGTTCAACTGAAGACGCAAATGTTCGGCTAATCTCTAACTTATATAACTTTCCTTTGCGTATCATAAAAAGCAACTCTTATTTCAAATTTGAGAATTTATTCCATGAAGTTAAACTTTGTAATAAACTGATAAGTGTTTCATGGGAAATGGGTTGGCTTTAAACGGAGTTCAAAATCAAAAAAACTTAAAACATGTTAATTAAATATAGTGAACTCATTTATAAGTGCTAAAGTTCCAACTTTCAAAAGCGACTGCAGAGATAATGTGGATGCTAGAAAAGACTTGAAGCCTGTTTGATTTTCCTGCGCAGGCAGCTGAAAAGCTTGTGGAAGTGTTTGAAAATGATGGATGTTTATTTGGGGCCATTTTGGATGCCGTCAAGTCATACCTGATTGTCACAATACAGCGGTTGTAACAAAAAGATGTAGTTTCATCAATCGGCAGCCCATTAACGGATACATTTTAGATCATTAATTCATCCAAAATGACACCAGTAAAGAAAATAAGTTTCTGTGAGAGTGAGAGAATCACAGGGTTTTATTTAAAGGAAACATGAAAAATAAAGAACAGAATACTTACTGATATTTTCTATACACCCTTCGTGAGTGTTTGGAGAGAAACGATTACATTCAATCTTTTTTTTTCTTCCAGTAATTAATGTATGAGTTAAACCCCTAACATCTTGTATTTATGTATCTATGGACAATGATAAATGCAACTAATAAATCTCTAAAGAAGCTTTGAACGGTGCCAAAGCAGCCGCTGTCCAACATACATCAACTTTCTTTTATAAAGTTCACCATTCAGGACTGGCTTTAACATTCTAAACGGACAAAAATGCAGATGTTTATGATGTATAAACTGTATAGGAAGTGCACAGAGAACCAAGGTCTAAATAAATGTAGTTCATTAAGATCACCATGGTAACCACACACTTTTGCCTGTCAATCCAAGCAGCGATCTTAACGAGTCAAGCAGACAGAGACGCAGAGCAACAAGAGGTACGCCGATGTCCTTGGTCGCTGAAGGTTTGAATAGTGAATGTTGGTGTTGTTTTCCAGATGAAACTGGAACTGAACAGGGAATGCAAGTAAACCTGAATGTTTTTGGTGCAAGATGCTCAAGCAGGGGTATTTCCAGTTCCCTCTTTCCACAGCGGGGGACAAAAAGTAAGACTCATATAAGCAGACACTGGGCAAAATATGTTGTATTCAAGAAAACCCTAGCTAAAAGTGGAAGAAGTGTCTTGTGACATGTTTCAAAATTGCTGTTTTATGTAGGTAATATGATCATTTAACAGATTATTCGTTTTCAGTAAAAAAACAAACAAAAAAAGCTCTGTACTCTAGGGGAGATTTGAGAGGAAACACTGGGTTCATGGACGTATGAGACACCCTGAGTGAACGCTCAGAAGCATGCCTTTGTTTCGATGTTATAAGGAGAATTATTTGGTGCTAACAAAAATGCTAGAAAATGTTGACAGCTCAGAAGTTAGTGTGAATGATAAACACACACACACACACACACACAGTTGAACCTCTATGGTCAAAAAATATAACCAAAAAATTTGTAATTGTAAAAACTCTTAAAAATCTAAAAATATCAGATCAGTCATGTTAAGTCCAACTTTTTGTGACCCACTGAAACATTAAGTGATGTTTCTGCTGTAGAGGACTGGGTTTTCTTCTTAGTTAATCAAAGTCCAATTGTTGGGTTCAGTAAAATTTTCAGTTTTTGCTCATTTAATTTATGCGCGATTACCAAAGGTCACAGCGCGCCATTCCTAAATGAGACAGGTGTTTTGTTTGAGGAATAGTAAACCAAACGTGACAAAATAGAAAAAGAAGCAAATAGAAATATTGGTGTTTCAATGCTTATGGATTAGCACCCAAAGAACTCAAACATGAACAACATGGAACAGCTTTACATATTTTTCTGTAAGATTAATCAGAATAAATAAATGTGATGCTGAATTTTTCTCATTTTTCCTCAGTTTTTTTTTAATGGTACTTCCAGCTAAAATCTTTTCAGTTTAATGAGGCAATAATTTTTTTTAGACCTTCAGGACTCAAATGTGGAAATGTGAACAGTGATGCCTGTATTTAATGGACATGTTTTCATTCTATTTTCACTATTTGTTAAGTATTGTTGTTGCTGTTTTTGCAATCTTTAGAATAATTCTATCAATAAAGCTGTCTGGTTATTTCTGTTTCATCCAGAATGTTTGTTCATGAGAGAATCATCATGTCAGTGTTCATCTTACAGTTGTAAATAAATGTGTTATTTATCATATCATGTCATTTATAATAGATTTTAAGGCCTGTTTGGATTCATTAAGCATTAAGCAGCATTAACAAAAAGCTAACAGTCGGCTCCGGCTCATGTGATTTACTGACAGCGACCAAAAACATGCATACTAGGCTGCTTCAGGCCCAGACCTCCCTTGTAAAAGAGATCTGTGATCCCAATGGGATTTGCCTGGTTGAATAAAAATTAATAATAAATGTGTCAGTGTTTGGGGTTCAGACATGTATCTGGAGCTGCAGTGTTTCCCCTACCATTAGCTAAGCATGGTGCCCCATCCTGTCAACAGAACCAAGCGGCCCCACCTACCAAAATTCGCCTAAACCACGCCCCGCCCCCATCTGACAATCACCCGGCCAAGGCCAGTAATCTAGGGGAAAAGCTGTATGATGTGATCATCACTCCTGCTGGATCCATGAGGTGCACAGGTCCAAAACTATCACCAAAGAGCCGAAGAATCCTGCTGCAGATTCCTTGATCCCAAATATGTCTGATTTCTTCTGAGGCATGTTGATCAATGCAAAATTAATGACAGAGGTGTAGAGAGTTGGCTTTTTCCGATGTCACGGTTATGGTTGCAGTGTGCTCCAATATGCTGTGCACAAGTGAACTTGTGTCACATTTGGAACATTTTATAGACACATTGAGTTGGTTCAATCTGTTTTTTGTATAATTAATACTTCTGTACTTTCTACTTAATACTTCTGTACTTACTACATAATACTTTAACATGTTTAGCTTTGATACTGTTTTAAAAATTGATACTTGTTTTATAAATCCTATAACATGTTTTTAATACAAAGCCAACTGTTGTACAAAGTTTGTTGTTCATGTATTCAATTTTTTTTTTTTCATTTACCCTTTATTTATCCAGGTAGTCTCATTGAGCCACGACAACTCATTTTCAAGAGAGACCTGTTTAGGGAGCAGATGGGGGTTAAGGGCCTTGCTCATGGGCCCAGAGTGGGGCGAATGAGGGTGGGGGCAGGTGTGGGTGCTTCACCTACCTACCCCACCCACATTTTTGATGTTGTCGGTACCGAGGCTTGAACCGGCAATCTTCCAATCACAGGCCCACCTTCTCTAACCTCTGCGCCACCACTCCCCCATAAGCATCAGATAAATTTTGAAATGTTTAATACACTTAAAAATCAAAATAAATTGACAATTACATTGTACTAACTGGTGTACTTTGTTTTCTAAGCACAGTATACCCACTACAAAAAGGTATACTACACCACTGGCTGAACACTAACGCTGCAGATAAGCTCTGCATAAGACAAGGTGCTCACAGGTGAGAAATAAGTTATGAGCACGTACTCAAATGCTCTGCTGGTTTCTGACGTATGTCAATTAATGAGTAATTTACATGTAAAGTGTGTGAACATATGCATAACATACCTGTTGCACACCTATAATTGATGTCTAACATATCAGTAGCACGTCAAGATGCTGAAAGTTTTGTGCATGATTATTGGCTGGCTATTGTCTGTCAGTGTGCTGACAACTAATTCAAAACATAAACCTAATTTATGTGACTCACACCAGCGTGTTTGGTTTTTTTCTTTCTTCCATTTGTTACTGTACGTTGATGCTATGTGTCACTGTGTGACAGGGGCTTTAACAGGATAGACCTAAAGGATCATTTCATCATTTTCCCTCACAGTGTAAAAAAAGTAATGCATAACTTTAAAACCAACAGATCAGGGTTAGGGTTAGGTTATAATACTCCTATAGGTGTTTATAACAGAATAATGTTTGGCAAGACAATATTTAATTGGGTCATTCATAGATACCCTTAACTTATCCTACAAATAAAAGTAAAGGAGAACACATGAGTAAAATGAATACTGTAAAACGTTGGCAGCATAAGGTTGGCTGCAGTATGATGGTCAGAATCCAAATGTGTGTGCAGGTTTTTGTCTTTTAAAGGATAAACGCTGAACTTTAGCTGATCTCAGCTGGCTAGTCATACCAGAGTTAGACATGTAGCCTGACAGTGTAGCAGCTGCATTTCCTTCCTGACTCACCCAATGGGCCTGGACACCATCAGCTCCACCTGAGGCTCGGACTGAGACTCCAGGATGATGTTATAAACTTCCTTCATTGTTGCTCCTGGTAACAACTTGCCGTTCCACTGCAAAACTTCATCCCCTGAAATCAAACATCCACACACAGAACACGTGCAGTTCTTACACCGGCACATTTGGTATTCACTTCACAGGACAGGAGATAAGTACGGAATGAATGTCAATTTTCTACAACAATAAAAAATATACATTTTCACTCAGAGTGTGAGGACTATTTTGTTTGTTTTCTCGAATGTGAAGGATGTTTGTCTGGTTTGTTAAGTAAGCATGGCCTTTGAACAGCATTAAAAGACTGGGACATAAACTGCCTGCTAAAACTGCTTTATGAGCCCAAAAGGTTCAAGAGCTAAAAGATCGGCTGGCAGTGCTGCAGATGATTTACACCCGGCCCAAGACCAAAGGGAAAGCTGCCACAGCAGCATTAGGACTGTCAGCCACATTCTCACCAAACACAGAAAGTCTTTCAGTCATGGGGAGGTGATGAAAGAAACATTTGTTGAGGCTGCAGATTTTAAAGTGAGATCAGAGGTGCACTACAGCATGCACAGACATACTACAACATGTGTGGGTGGGTGGGTTGTTGGGGGGGGGGGGGGGGATGCGGTGTTGAACAAGGTAGGACTGTGATTGTCTTGTTTGAGCCGGCAGTCTGAACCTGCAAGGGACTGAACTCGTACATGCCTGATGCCCCACCCTGCTGTCTCCACAGAGAGCCAGCTGCTGGTTTTGGTTCATTTTAACATGATATTTGAAATAACTGTTTCATTGTTTGAGATTTGTAAATAGATTTGTAAATCCGCACCTATGTAAGCAGTGGTGTAGTCTACATTTTTATACTGTGTATACTGTGCTTAGAAACCAAAATACAGCGGTTAGTACAAGTACAATGTAATTGTAAATTTATTTTGAGTTCCCCGACGCACCCCCCTAGGAAGCAGAAGATAATGAATGGATATATGTTACACACACACACACACACACATATTATCATATTTATTATCATAAGTTATTTTCTTTTTAGTTTAAAGTAAATTGGACAAAATGGGCTCTGGGCTCTCCCCCCCCCCCCCCCCAACCACCCTCCACCCCCAAGAAAAAAGAGGGACACCGCTGTTCTTTGAGGGCGTTTACGACCCATTTCACCCCGACGTTTCAATATAATGACACGTGCAATGATATGTCATGTATCACTGGGCACTTTTAGTGAGTATATGGAAATTCCCAAGTTTTTCTACTGAGTACATGCCGTATACCAGCGTATCACGTAGACTGCACCACAGTATGTAAGCCACCTTTTGTATACAGTGAGCACTAATTTCAGATGGAAGAGATAGAGGCCCTTTTTATTTGAACAACAGATTTCTCTGGTTCTTTGTCAGGAGTCATGTAAGGAAACTGACTTCTTTATTTTTCTTTGGTAGGTAAGTCTAGGTGTTTTAGGTGGTTTACCTTGGGTTAGGAATTTAACAATTTGTTTGGTACTGAGGCTCTCGGCAACCTACTTCTCGGTTCTCTACTTCACAAGTAGATCTACTGTGTAAGTTCAAAGAAGTTTGAGCACCCCTACCTTAGGGTCTGACCTTTCATCACCCTGGTAGTGACTCAATAAACCATGAAGACACTGTGCTACATCAGTAACATCCAGTATCTGCATGTCATACCACACCTGAGACAGCACCCGTGTACAGACTTTCAACAGGACCTATTCACTTACAACAAACAGGTCTATGAACTGTGTTTGACCATTCAGGTGCTTCATTCTTTCTTGTGACAAAGAAGCTGCAATGTGACCATACTGCCAAGTCTGTTATAGATTTGAACTGATTAATACAGCCACATGACCTGTCAACATATGCAGTTTCATTTCCTTCCCACTACTCCATTTAGGTGTTTCCCTTTCTGTCATCTTCTTCCTCTTTCATGTTTTCCATCTTCAGGGGTCTCCACAGTGAGTTATCGTCCTCCATCTCACTCTGTCCTTACTCCAACTACCTCCAAGTCCTCTCTAACTGCATCCATATATCTCCTCTTTGGCCTTCCTCTTTATCTTTTTCTGGAAGCTGCATTTCTAATATCCTTCTACCAATATAATATGTAATATAATATAGGGATTGGTGGAGCAAAGGTTAGAAGATGGGCCTGTGATTGGAAAGTCGCAGGTTCAACTCCCGGTACCGTCCACATCAAAATGTGGGTGGAAAAGGTGAAACACCCACACCAGCCTCCACCCTCATTCACGCCACTCTGGGTCCTTGAGCAAGGCCCTTAACCTTGAACAGGTCTCTCTTGAAAATGAGTTGTCGTGACTCATTGAGACTACCTGTATAAATAAAGGGTAAATTAAATAAATGAAATGAAAATGAAATATATCCACTGTATCTCCTCTGGACATGTACAAACCACTGTCCCTCCTCTGGACATGTCCGAGCCATCTCAGTTTGGCCTCTCTAACTTTATCTCCCATTTGTTCAGCCTGTGCTGTACCTCTGATGATCTCATTAATAATCTTATCCATCCTTGTCACTCCTAAGGAGAACCTCATCATCTTCATTTCAGCTACTTCCAGTTTTGTCTCCTGTCTTTCTGTCCATTTCTCTGAGTCAAAATCATACAACATGGCTGGTCTCACTACTCTTTTGTAAAAGTTTCCTTAGATCTTTGCCGCCAAAGTATTGTCAAAAATCACTCTGATATTGAAACTGAAACTTTTCTCCATCTCTCATCTCAGGTCTCCTCCAATCATCACTCTCCCCTCCCTGGTAGTAGTACTCTATCGCTTAATCCAGATCCTTCCAAAATGTATCTTTCTCCTCTGTTACATCCAACCTGTGGAACTTAACCACTGACAGCATTTAGCATCAGACCTTCTACTTCTACCTTCACCTTCACCTACACATCACCCTATCTGACACTCTTTTCACCTCTATTACATTCTTTAACACCTCCTACATGACCACCCCACTCCATTCCTCTTTCTATCCACACCATGGTAAAACAGTTTAAACTCTGCTCCAATGCTGCGAGCCTTGCTGCCCTTCCACTTGGTCTCTTGAACACATAAAACATCTACCTTCCTTCTCTGCATCATGTCAGTCAGCTCTCTACCTTTGCCTGTCATTGTCCCCACATTAAGAGTTTCCACCCACAGTCCTACATTCTTGACTTTCCTCTTCTCCCTCTGTCTCCTGACACGTTTCCCTCCTCGTGGTCTTCCACTAACAGTAGCACAATTTCCGCCAGCACCCTGTTTGTCAACAGCACCGGTGGTGGACGCTGTTAACCCAGACCTTGACAGATTCGGTATGGTGTTGCTTTAATGAATTCACATTATAGTTTTGGCAAAAGTGTTTTACATCGAATGTCCTTCCTGACACAACCCTCACCATTTACCCGAGCTTGGGACCAGAACCAGAGTTAGACTGGCTTGTGATCCCTAGTGGCTGCTTAAATGTAAAAATTGTCCTAAAGTAATATAGAATAATGCCAATGCATTTTTCATTTTATTTTATTTTAAACTGACATTTTTATGTCCATTAAAGCACTCTTCACTGCTTCCTGGAATTTCTACGATGAAAAACATTTAAGCTGCTATGATGTATAAAAAAGTTTAGAAAAAGGTGAAGCTGCAGAATTTTCAAAATTCTATACAGTATATAAATACTTGTTTTATACAACCAATGGTTCTGAACATCTTTAATTATTAAAACTGAATAATAGTTTATTTAAAGTAGCTGTTGATGACTATTGTCAGTCAGTGCCCAAAAGTGTGAATGTGGTTTCATTGTAAGATTCCAGTACTTTAATTGTTGTTTTGTACATTTTATTTGCATTCTTACTTTTAACATATTTTGCTTTATGCTACAGTAGCAGATGTACAATAAATTTTATTTTATGATGACATAAGAAACTTGATATTCCATCCATCCATTATCTTCCACTTGCGCAGGTTGTGGAAACTTGATATTAAACCACTTAAACACAGTCTAACTGTCTTTAGATTATTATTATTATTATTATTGCTTGTATCATACAAACCAGATTCCAAAAAAGTTGGGACACTAAACAAATTGTGATTAAAAACTGAATGCAATGATGTGGAGATGGCAAATGTCAATATTTTATTCGTAATATAACATAGATGACTGATCAAAAGTTTAATCTGAGTAAATGTAACATTTTAAAGGAAAAATATGTTGATTCAAAATTTCACAGTGTCAACAAATCCCAAAAAAGTTGGGACAAGTAGCAATAAGTGGCTGGCAAAAAGAAATTGAGCATATAACGAACAGCTGGAAGACCAATTAACACTTATTAGGTCAATTGACAACATGATTGGGTATAAAAAGAGCTTCTCAGAGTGTCAGTGTCTCTCAGAAGCCAAGCTGGTAAGAGGATCACCAATTCCACCATTGTTGCGCAGAAACATAGTGCAGCAATTCCAGAATGGTGTTACCCAGCGTAAAATAGCAAAGACTTAAGTTATCATCATCAACCGTGCGTAACATCTTCAAAAGATTCAGAGAATCTGGAAAAATCGCTGTGCGTAAGGGTCAAGGCCGTAAAACTCTACTGGATGCTCGTGATCTCCGGGCCCTTAAACGTCACTGCACCTCTAACAGGAATGCCACTGTCAAGGAAATAACAGAATGGGCTCAGGAATACTTCCAGAAAGCATTGTCAGTGAACACAATCCACCATGCCATCCACCGTTGCCAGCTGAAACTCTACAGTGCAAAGAGGAAGCCATTTCTAAGCAAGCTCCACAAGCTCAGACGTTTGCACTGGGCCAGGGGTCATTTAAAATGGAGTGTGGCAAAATGGAAGACTGTTCTGTGGTCAGATGAGTCACGATTTGAAGTTCTTTATGGAACACTGGGACGCCATGTCATCTGGACCAGAGAAGACAAGGATAGCCCAAGTTGTTATCAACGCTCCGTTCAGCAGCCTGCATCACTGATGGTATGGGGTTGCATGAGCGCTTGTGGTGGCATGGGCAGCTTGCATGTCTGGAAAGGCAGAGAACTATGTTCAGGTTCTAGAACAACATATGCTCCCATCTAGACGTCATCTCTTTCAGGGAAGACCCTGCATTTTTCAACACGATAATGCCAGACCACATTCTGCAGCAATCACAACATCATGGCTACGTAGGAGAAGGATCTGGGTACTGAAATGGCCAGCCTGCAGTCCAGATCTTTCACCTATAGAGAACATTTGGCGCATCATAAAGAGGAAGGTGCGACAAAGAAGGCCCAAGACGATTGAACAGTTAGAGGCCTGTATTAGACATGAATGGGAGAGCATTCCTATTTCTAAACTTGAGAAACTGGTCTCCTCTGTCCCCAGACATCTGTTGAGTGTTGTAAGAAGAAGAGGGGATGCCACACAGTGGTAAAAATGGACTTGTCCCAAATTTTTTGGGATTTGTTGACGCCATGAAATTTGGAAACAACAGATTTTTCCCTTAAAATGATACATTCTCTCAGTTTAAACTTTTGATCTGTGATTTGTGTTCTATTCTGAATAAAATATTAGATGTTGGCACCTCCACATCATTGCATTCAGTTTTTATTCACAATTTGTTTAGTGTCCCAACTTTTTTGGAATCCGGTTTGTACATGATTTTTGTATAAAGTGCAGTAGCCACTTTGATAGATCTAAAAGCACTGCATTTGAGGAAACAAAACTACCGTGACCTCCGGTCAAGTCAAGACGAAGTAAAGTAATGTTTATGTAATGAAGTAATGACGCTTAGTAATGATAATGCTTCCCTTTTTGTCAGCGAGTTCATAAAGTTTGATTAAAAATTAAGTTGTATTAGACGTATTAGTGGGATAAAGTTCTAATAATTTTTTTTTTCGATTGTAAATACAGCTATCAAGATGTTAGTGTGAAAAATAAGGCCTGAAAATGAAGGCAAACTGATTGTAAATGTTCAATAGAAACATCCTTTTCCATTTTAAACATTTGTTTTTACAGCTGTGACGTTGAGTGTTTACCTGCTCTCAGATGACCCACCACGTCAGCCAGACTTCCCTTCTTGACTTTGGTGATGAAGGCACCTAACCTGCCGGACTCTGTTATTCTTCCTCCCACCACCTGATGACAATCACACACAGGAAGATGGAATTTGAGGATAACAAACTAATGACCGTTCACATCTGATGTTGACCTCTGACCTTTAACCCAAGCAGAGCTCCAGCTTCTTTAGGCATGGTGGCACTCCTCTTACTGAGAGTAATTCGCCCAATCAGATGGTCTCCCTCCTTGGATGGTTGCCACGTCACAGGATGCTGCAGGAGATTTAAAAAATAAATGACCACAAGAAGGACATATACAACTTCAAATGAACACAAAGACACCCCAACTAACCAAAAATCAGAGGTTGAATGTGCCTAAAATATATTGTTTAAACTGTAGCTTCACTTTGTTTATTGTTTAGTAAAAAGTAAAAGATGTGTGGCTGAGACGGTTTGTTCACGTGCAGAGGAGAGGTGGTGGACATACTGTAAGGATCTTAAACATTAAGCTGCCAGGAAGGAAGAAAAGAGGAAGACTACAGCAGAGGATAAAAAAATATAGTGAAGATGAAGAGGGTTGGTGCAATAGAAGAGGACGGTGAGACGGGGGGAGGTGGAGATTATCCACTGGGGTAACCCCTAAAGGGAGCATCTAGAAGAAGAAACAGAGGACAATGATAATTCACGGACCAGAACCAACTTCATCTGTAACCTCAACATGCAAATTATTACCATAAAATCAAACTCCTAAAAGGAAATGTTTTGTGTATGTGAGGATGGTGCCCTCTCGTGGTGTGTTTAGCTCCTGCTCTCCCTTGTGTTTCCCTTGTGATTAGCCCTTGCCTTCCACCTGTTCTTCCCAGGTGTTTGTGTTTAGCCCTCGTTAGTGTGTACACATAAGTGTGCGTTTTCGGTTCCTCGTCAGCTGGTCATTGTCTGGTGATGTCCTGGTGCAGTATTTCTCATCACTCCTGCGTTACGCCTTCTGTGTCTCCCAGTATTCATGCCAGTATTTGCTGCCACGCCAGCTCTTTTGTTTTGTTAAATACACATTTTAGTTATTTAAATCCTCTGCGTTCTCTGAGTCCTGCCTGCATTTGGGTTTGACCTGCTTCCAGATCCTAACAGTGTATGTCGTGTTCTAAACATTTATGTCTGTATCTGAAACTGAAATGAATAAAAGTTGTGTTGTAGGCATTTTGATGGGCTGTCAGAGTTTAGAAGTTCATGGGAAATAAATAAAACAATTCTTCCTGATTTTATGAAGAGGTGGAGCAAACAGGCAACACAGGTATTTGTAGAAATATGAATCACTCTTAGGTGGCTGTTTCACTTGAACTTTAAAGTGGAATGTAAAAAGATATCGATATATTTTTGTTCAAATTTATTTAATAAGGTAAAGTACACAAAACAACAAAGCTACGTGTTAAAAGTAAGAGTTGCATCTTGCAGAACCTGGTTTAATCAAAACAAGATGTGAAGAGACAACATAATTTTTGATGATCTGAACCCATAAAGCTGTTTGCATTGCAAGTTTTTATTTAAAACCTTGCTTTTAATAGAAAAAATATGAGTGTAACAAATCAGAGTCCAAGCACATTTCATCAGGTTTGATGGGAAAAAACTTCAGATTAGATTCTTTGTTACCTGAAACCTCTGAAGTGCACTTTTAATGTGGTTCATGATGTGAAACACACACCTCTGTTAACAGTTTGATCTTCTTCTGTCATTAAAGCTTGACTGTAACATGCACAATCGGTGATCTCTGTTTACATATAGGAAACTGTATGCAAGCTTTTGTTCACATTGTTTTTCAGCACTACTAAAGTATGGTAATTGAAGTAGGGTTACACTGAAGGAAGTGTCCATTTGAACATCTTAGATAACAAAAATAATAATTAAACAGAAAGCTTAGGCATAAATACACTGCCATCAACCATGACACATGAACAATGAAAGATTTATTTCTTTAAAGATGTGCTGCTGTGTTTTTGAACACAAAGTTTTTCAAGTAAAGAAAAGCCGTGACTTACGTGCCATCCCGTGGGATCGTGTGGGTGACACTCCCAGTCGCCTGCAGCAGAAAAGAAACAACATGAATCATTAGCAGCACACACACATCACCTGCAACACTGTTTACACAGCACACACACCTTACACACACCTGTTTCAAACTAGACACTTCATGTGATTGAACATTTAAACGTAAGGAAAAACAGGAAACTTAATAACCATCTAAACTGTGTTCAGCACAGGCAGTAAAGGCAGGCGGTCCTGTCAGACTGCAGAAAAATAAAATTAATAAACCAAGATTTGAAGGTGCTCACTGTGCACAAACCAAAAATACTGAGAAAACCACTTTAAAAAGAAAATGCTCAAAGAATAATAAAAAAAAAAGAGATCAAATATTTTGCTTATCAAATTAAATGTTTAAAAACAATTTACAGTTTCATATTGTAAGTACATTGACTGTAAAAAACAAAAATATAGAAAAAACAAACATTTCTGAGGAAATGTGTGTGTGTGTGTGTGTGTGTCTGTGTGTGTATATATATATACACATAATCATATATACACATATATATATATATATATATATATATATATATATATATATATATACACATATA